CTGATGCCAGGGGCTTAAGTGGAGAGCAAATGTTTTGAGAAGGATGAGAGCAATAAATGTACAAATGTGCTTTACACAATTGATGTACATATGGATTGTGATAAGAGTTGTATGAGCCCCTAATAAAATGATTTAAAACAAAGAAAGAAAGAAAACTGAAATAAACGTTATGCTTAAAAAAGAAAAAACTCAAAATACAGTTATTGCCATCAACTCAACCCTGATTCAGAGCAACCCTGTAGTATAAAGTAGAACTGCCCCATTGGACTTCTGAGACATTAACGCTTCATAGGGATAGACAGCTCCTTCCACCCAAGGGGCCACTGGTGAGTTAAAACCTCTGACTTTGTGATTAGCAGCTCAATGAGCCACCAGGGCTTTTTATTTTTTTATTTTTGGGATACATTCAAACCAAACTATACTGCTATAAACTCATTTTTGCATTATTTGATTTTTTGAGTTCTATGATAATACATATTAGTATAACCAGGATTTAAAAAACAAAAACACTTTCCTGCATATAATTTAAATAAAATTTAATTTTTGATAGAACAGAAGGAATATCAGTAGATTGTAGCTTTTGGATAAACAAATGTGGACGAGGCATTTGGCAGAGTGCCAGGCACATAGTAAATTCTCTGAAAATAGTAGGTATTATTGTGATAATTGTGAGCTATTTCTTTGGCCTTTTCCAATTATACTACTTTCCTTTCCTATATTCCCTTTTTTGAAATAAAAATCAGTATTTCTTTTTCATTTAACATGGAAGAACACCACGATGAAAGTTAAATTGCTAAAAGTTGCATGATAAGCATATTTTTAAAAGAAAAGAAAGCATACCAAATTCAATGGCAGAACTAAAAAGAAAAGAGGCCATTAACCACCTGTACAACACCGAGGAAGGTCACTGTCAGGTTTCTAGTCCTCAGTCTCCTGATCTATAAATAGAGATAGTTCACACCAAAATTGAGTGTACAACTCTTCTTAAGAGGATTGAACTATTGAATTGTATGATGTGTGAATTATATGCCAATAAAACTGCTCAATTTTTTATAAGACGGATTACATATCTCTTGTATAGCTTCATAGTCTAACTTATTATGTAATTTTCAAATTTGTGTTTTATTCCCCACAAGTATAATTTTTTTTAAATTATTTAATAAAGGTTGAAATCAACTTCTCACTAAGTCTTGGCAAACTCAAAGTATTGATTCCATTCTTTGCCAAATGAATTTCTCAGATAGGATTGTGTGTATGTGTGACTATGCATTTATATATACATTTACATTGTATAGAATTACATTGTATAGTTTATGTAAATGAACTGGTATGTGATGCCTAACCGTAACACATTTTTCAAAAAAATTTTTAACTTTAAATTGTTAGTATTCATGAAATAAATGTGCCTTCCCATGTATTCCCTCCCAACATCCAAAGGAAATTCTAAATATTTTGTTGGAATATATATCTATTCTATTATCAATCAATGAGGATAAGATAACAATGGCAAACAATGAGAAAGTCAGTTGTGCTGTAAAGCTGAAGCTAAGAATCAATACAGCAATTGAGATAAAGTATGAGGAGTTGCATCCAAATTCTTATTATGGAAAATCTCTTTTCCCAAACACACTAAGCTTAAGTAACAGTGGTACTTATAAGTGATACATTGAACAAGATATTAGAAAATGTTTTAATAGCAATTTGGAAAAAAAGACAAGCAGAAATTGTCACCTTATATAAATTTATGTAAATCCTCAGTAAATGTAGGGAGCATATTAAAATAAGTTCTTGTAAAGGTGTTCAATTGGAGAACAAACCCAATTATTTAAATACGTAGATTGATGATGCTACTGATATTTATGATGCTACGAATGATGCTGCCCACTACCATGAGTCATTTTCAACTCATACCAACCTGATAGGACAGAGTAACACTACTCCATAGGGTTTCAAAGGCTGTAATTTATATATATACATATAGATTATATATATACAAGTATATATATATTATATATATACAAATATATATATTTGTTGTTAAGAATATACACAGCAAGGCAGACACCAATGCAATACTTCTTACATGTACAATTCTGTGACATCGATTATATGCTTCAAGTGTGCAAACATACTCTGCAGTATTTAATTAATCATTCCTCCCCCATTAACATAAACTCACTAGTCAATTTGATCCCTTATAGATAGTTTTTTTAAGCATAATACTCATGATAGATATTTTTCATTAGTTATGTTTTAGCTATTCCTTGCTTTTAGGAAGAGTTCAGGGAATATCTTTGATTTGAGGCTTAAAGATTATGCCAGGACAACAGTTTCAAGGATTTACCCAACCTGCATGGCTTCAGGAAGACTGATGTTCATGAGAATTTGAAATTCTGTTCTGTATTTTGCCCTTTTGGTAAGCATTCTCCTATGGAATCTTTAATCAAAATGTTCTGTAGTGATACTTGGGTACCACCCAGTCCTAGGATCACAACAAAAGAAGCAATTGTTCATGGAGGGACACAAGTCAATTCCAACACCTAGCAATCCTATTTAGGGCTTCCAAGTGCTTCCAATATTCATAGGAGCAGATGAATGACCTTATCTCTCTCCGGCAGAGATATCGGTGGTTTGAACTGCCAACCTCAGGCTTAACAATCCCTTACCTGAAAATACCGCCAGGGTTCCTTATACATTGGCTATGTACCTTCGATTACTGGCTCTCTTTTTACCTCTGTTGTTCCAGCAAATGGAGACTCATGGATCATTTGGGATTGGATGGCCACTTAACAAACTTTTAAAACCTTGGATACTACATGTCAACAATAGAAGTCAGAACAAAAGCACTGGATATGCTATTAGGTCAATTAACTGGGATGTCACATGAAACCGTGACCCTAAATCTTGAAACCAAGTCCCATAATGGTTTTGGTTGTATACAAACAAGGTCTAATAATCTTTATAGGAGCAGGCTGGCACACCTTTCTTCCCCAGAGTGGTTAATGGGTTTCATTTATCATCCAAGTACTTTTACCACTGTGCTGTTAGGGTTCCTTTTGATACTATTAGTGGAATAAATTAATAGCATTATAGAAAAACTAAATAACAAATATTTTTATATTGAGGTCCACCCAAGGACCTACTGTACTCATTATATTTTCTTATTGATTAAAGGAGATCTGTGTGAATTACATTTTAACATGTCCACAGTAAGATTTTATTTTATTGTAAAAAAAATAAGCCAAGACCTTTCTTGCCTAGATATAGAGAAAACAATATCTGTAAGAAAGGTTGAAAGAATTTCCTAAACCAAATTTAAATTTATTGGAATTATTCAAGAAGTGTTTGGAAGAAGTCCAGATTTTACCAACATAAAGCAAATGAATAAACTACAAGTTAATATTAAAATAATAAAACAGAACATACAAAAACAAAAAGTAGTTAGGTTGGAAGATGCTTAATTTTCCTATATAGCACTGATGTGCCTTCCTACACTTCTTGCTAGAATTTAATAAATAACAACACAAATCACCATTGAATCAGACAAGTTACTCAATAAACATACAATTCAATCATTTAGTCTATGATATAAACTAAAAAAACAAAAAACTTAGAAACTCATCCAGAAATACATTTCCCAGTATCATTATTTTCAAAAACTTAATATTATTCATTAAGTCATCTAATAACAATGGAGTCTTTTCTTATCAGAATTAGGAGCTGAAAGAGATATACTTTTTATCTAGTAAATTCTTTCTATTTAATTTTTCCCCTTTTATATTTGCTCTTGAGTCTACGTGTGCAATTATCTCATGTCAAATAAAATATAATCTTTATAATTGCAGTAGGGGAGAAAAGATAATTCTGTGGAGGGAAATTATTCAAGGCAGAAGGACTAAAATTACCAGTCTTAATTAGTTTTGTATTTCTATTGGGTAAAGGAATTGCTGTTTGGGAGCTAAGAATATGTTCAGCTCCTCAGGGAGTAATAATGTATTTGACATGGGACAAGGAAAGAAACAAAATAAACGATTGGTTTTCAGCTTGAATTGCTGTATAACTAACAAGAAAATAAGAAAGAATAATAAGGACCATTTACTTGCTAACAGTCATGAAATTACATTCAATCATATTTCTGCAAATAAAACTCACTTGAAAGAAATGCGCTGGGATACTCTTAGACCTGGACACACCATGGAGATCTGTTGCTTCAAAACGCACAAACTGGAGGTGATTTCTGGTCATCTCTTGTTTAATGTGCTTCATTCTCGAGGAGAGTTGAGGTAGGGTGGGAAATGGACTGCTGTCTTTGGGGTGATCTGTAAAATAAAAGTCAGTGGATCGTGATGAATTAAAAAACAAGAATGATGAGAAATACAACCTTCCTCTAGTTCCTAAAGGTTTCCTCCCCGCTCCCACTACCATGACTCGAATTCTATCTTGCAAGACTGGCTAGACCAGAGGAGGTACACTGGTACAGATAGGAACTGAAAATACAGGGAATCCAGGACGGATGAGCCCTATAGAACCAGTGGTGTGAGTAGCAAAACAGGGAGGGTAAAGGGAGAATGGGTAGGGAAGAGGGAACCGATTACATGGAACTGTGTGTGACCTCCTCCCTGGGGGACAGACAACCAAAAAGTGGATGAAGGGAGACGTCGGACAGGGCAAGATATGACAAAATACCCATTTATAAACTATCAAGGGCTCATGCGGGAGGGGGGAGTGGAGAGGGAGGGGAAAAATGAGGACCTAATGTCGGGGGTTTAAATGGAGAGAAAATGTTTTGAGAAACGATGTACAAATGCGCTTTACACAATTGATGTGTGTATGGATTGGGATAACAGTTGTATGAGCCCCTAATAAAATGTTAAAAAAAAAAAGAAAAGAAAAGACATTAATTGAAAAGACAACCTACAGAGCATAATAAAGATTTGAAAATCAAAAACAAAAAAAAAAGAGTAAAATAAAAAAAACAACAACAAGAAGACGTTAAAACTCAAAGCCCACTGCCATCTGGCTGATTCAGACTTACAGCGACCCTCTAGGAAAGGCGGAGCTCCTCTTGAGGGTTTCCAAGATTGGACCAGACAACCTCATCTTTCTCTCTCAGGGATCCGGGTAGGTTTGACACACAGCACCACTGGGAGAGGTTTGGAGTTAGGAGTGGATTTCAATCCAGTCAATTCGAACACATAGTGTCTCCACAGGTGCCAGAGGAGAGCTGTGCTCCATAGAGTTTTACTGGCTACTCTTTCAGAGGGAGCTCAGCAGGTCTTTTTTAAGACGGGCCTCTGGGTGATCGCTAACTTTTAGGTTAGCAGAGAAGCTCCTTGATATTTTGTGCCACTCAAGGATTCCCAAGAGGAAGTTTGATTATGCTTTCTAAAGAAAGCATCATATACATATTGTCATCGTGTCATTGGTGGAGTGTTGGAAATCTTACCCTTTCTTACATTCCTTTACTATCTTCCCAAGAGCATTGTCTCTAACAGGCTGATTATCACAAACCAAACTTCTGCCACTGAGTCGATTTCAACTCACAGCAAACAGTCAAGCTGCTCCTTTGGATTTCCAAGACAGTAAGTCTTTACGGGGTAGCCAGCTTCCTCTCTCGTACCAGCTGATGGTGGTTTTGAATTGCCAACCTGTGGTCAGCAGCCCCCAGTGCTTTCCTAGGTGGGCCAGCAACGTTCTTTTCATTTACCTTTAGCTGGAAGTTAACATTATTTATGTAAGTATAAAACAAAAATATATATCTACAGTAGAACTCCAGTACTCGACTGCATCAGTAATTGAATTTTGACACGAAATGTCGAGAACATTTTGCATCAGAGCTCAGACAAAACATCGGGCTCTGACCCCACGCATGTGATTTGTATTAACAAAATCATTTCCTGTTTCGGTCACTCCGCGTTAGTTGGTGTTGTTAGTACGCGTTGTTTAAACTTCTTGCGGCTGTGTTGCAAGCATTTTGCTATAATTTTCTTAGTTTTGTGGCTTTTTGTACTGTTTTTAGATTTAAAAAAGTGGGCCCTGCGAAAGAGTTTTTTGAAAAGAATCATCATGATAAGGAACTGGTTAATCGCGTTGCCGATATTGTTGATGATAATTTAGTAAACCCTTTCAGAAAACAGTTGAGGAAACGCCAACAGCAGACCACATAAGACAGATTTTTTTTTTTTTTCAGAGAAAACCAGGCAGGTCCTAGTGAAGAAAGACAAAGGGAAAAATTGAAAAGCGGCTACCAGTGGATTTGAAGGAGGGGGATTCCGCTTCCAAACAATGGCTCTCTCTCCATCCCTCCTCTCCGCCTCCGTGTCCTCAGATCCAGCCCCTCATCCGTCTCAAGGTAGGGGCCATACTGTCGTTAAAAACCTTTTTAATGTTGTGTTTCTTATTTAAATTATATTATTTAACTCTAAACTTATTTACTTTGAAATTGGCATGTAATGTTTTGTATAAAAAGACAAGATTAGAGTAAAAACTTGGTGGTCGAAAACGGATGATTCCATTTTCAGTTATTTCTTATGGGAAAAATTGATTTGGAACTCAATGCTCCTTCTAAAACGGAATAGCTTCGAGGTCCGGCGTTTGTGTGTGTGTGTGTGTGTTTGTGTGTGTGTGTGTGTGTGTGTTACACAAGAACACTGTCAGCCCATCGTTGCAGCCATTGTGTCATTCCATCGTGTGTGTTACACAAGAACACTGTCAGCCCATCGTTGCAGCCATTGTGTCATTCCATCTCTTGAGCACCTTCATCTTTTTCATTGAACCTCTATTTTGTCAAGCACGAAGTCCTTCTCCAGAGACTGATCCCTCATGGTAATATGTACAAAATACAGATGATGAAGTTTCACCATCCTTGTTTCTAAGGAGCATCCTGGCTCTGATTTTGTTGTTGTTGTGTTTTAAATCCAAGACTGATCTTTCTGTTCTTCTCACAGTCTGGCATACTTACCTTCTCCTCTAACACCACAGTTCTAATCTCACAGTCTGGTATACTTACCTTCTCCTCTAACACCACAGTTCTAATCTCACAGTCTGGAATACTTACCTTCTCCTCTAACACCACAGTTCTAAGGCATCAATCCTAACTCCATCTTCTCCGTTCATCATTTAGCTTTCATGAGTATATGAGACTATTGGAATCACGATGGCTTATGTCAGGCAGACTTTGTTAGGCTGAATTCTCTAGAGAAGCAAAACCAGAGATGTGCCTATATGTAATTATATAGAAAAATAGTTATATAAATAAATGGCTCACATAGTTCTAGAAACGGATAAATCCAGTCTGATTCAAGTCTGTGGCTCATATGGCAAGCTAAATGTTCCTCCCAACTCATGTAGCTGTCAGGCCTGACAAACCAGGGAGAAGAAAGATGAAACAAAGACCACAGGCTGGTGGATACAAAGTCAAATGAATCCAAGGTTTGCAGTCTGCGGGAGGCTCCTGGGATTAGCAGCTAAAGCAGCAGAAAGTCAACAAACCGGATGCTGAACCCAGATCTAGTACAACTGGCAAGCTTTCCCACAGGATCTGCTTTAAAAATGATCAGGCCACACCCCTGAGGAGTCTTTCTTCTAATTGCATCAATGCTAGGACCTGAACAAGAACTGCTATAAGTATTAGCTGCTCACAGAGTTGATAGCATTTTGCTAGATTCCATAATGGAATGGATTTTCCACCCATGTTTGATCACACCCTGAACGATTATTGCCAGACTACTAAAAAGCTTGGCCCAGACTAGTTTACATACCATATATACTCGTGTATTAGTCTAGTTTTTTCAGCACATTTGTAATGCCGTTTTTGTAGTAAAACTAGGTGCCTCGGCTGATATTCGTGTCGGTTTATACTCGAGTACATACAGTATATCTTAACTATCACATACACTTTAGCCATCAAGGTGCTATCTCTGCTATTTAAAACTCTGAAGAGAGATTTTGCAGTAAATTTTCCCAATACAGAAAATCCTTTGATTTATTGTCTGGTGTTTTTATGATTATTGATTATGGACCAAAGTAAAATGAAATCCTGGACAAATTCATTTTTCCCCATCAATCGTGATGTTACTTATTATTCCAGTTGTAAGGATTTTCACTTTCCTTATGTTGAGCTGTGATCCATAATGAAGCCTGTAGCCTTGGTCTTCATCACTAAGTGCAGTCTTCTTCGCTTTCGGTAAGCAAGGGTGTGCCATCTGAATATTGAAGGTTTTTAATGCACCTGTCGACAGTCCTGATACCACATTCTACTTCATGTAGTCCACCTACTCAGATTATTTGCTCGCCATTCAGCTAGAATATACACACACACACACACACACACGTATGACACAACCCTGACACACGTGTCCTGATTTTAAACCATGCAACATGTCCTTTCTCTCTTTGAATGGCTGTCCCTTGGTCTGTGTACAGGTTCTGCAAGAGCACAATTAAGTGTTCTGGAATTCCAGTCTTTGAAACATTATCTATAATTGGTTATGATCCACATAGTTTTATACTTTTGCTTATTCAATAAAACAGAGGGGCGCCTCTTTCTAGCACTCGCTATTTTCAGCCAAGATTCATCTGTTTTCAGCAATGATTTCCCTTGTGCCAAATCTTCTTCTGTATCCAGCTTGAATTTCTGGAAATTCCCTGTTGATATAGTGCTGTGACCATTTTTAATTACTTTCCACAAAATTTTGTGTGTATGTGATAAGAATGATATTCTCAATAATTTCCACATTCTGTTGGACACCACTCTTTGAAAGGGGCAAAAATATAGATTTCTTCCACTTGGTTGTCCAAGTAGCTATCATTTGAGTATTTTGGTTGTTTGGGGTTTTTTTTTCTTTTTTTTGCATAAGCAGTGTTTCGCCCATTTCTTGGCTCATCTCTTCTGGTATCCTGCCAATTCGTGGAGCTTTATTTTTGCAGTGCCTTTACTTCACCTACATTTCTTCCTTCAGTGCTATCAGTTCTTGATCAGAGTGTAGTGGTACCAAACAAATCCCAAAGCTGATCTGTTCTACTTCTAGGCCTGCATTAGCAAAGGCAAATTTGTTATCCTATTTTAGCCCAGCTTTCTCATCAATAGAATATTACTTACTTCAGAGGATTGTTATGAGTATTGAACATGGTATTTAACATTTCTGACAGTACCATAAACATGCTACTTAAATATATAAAATGAACATAATTACTCTGTCCTACATAAATGGTAACTTAATAATGTTTGTAACTGAATTCCTATCCATCTGTCACATTTCTCTGACATTAAGCAGCTATCATTTTAAACAATAACTACATATATTTTTCTCAAGTTATA